TATATATATATATATATCAGAGACGAAGCTAAGAAAATGGTTACTAGCAGTTTCAGCAACGGAAAATCAATAATTACGAAAATCATTTAGTATTTCACGTTAATCCCTATAAACGCAATTGTTATAGTAAGTGTAGGGAGAGAAATTTTCTGTTTTTTATTTATAATCTCTTTTTTATAAAATAATATATCTAAAAAAGCCCCTATAATTTTTACAATTCTTGAAATATCTAAAATCCTATATACAAACAATTCATAACAAGATAAAATCCTCTCTCTTGATATAAATGGATTAAAAGAGTTGAAACAACTAATCGAGAAGATTAATCAGCATTTAAAAAAGAATAATAATTCGAAATCTTATAAGCGTGATATATAAGAGGCTATACGTTTAATGTTAGCTAAACGATTCATGAAACTCGAGCGTTCGCTCGCAACAAAAGCTGAATATCGGATAAAGTTCTCGCGTCTGCGAATTCTGTTACACAAGCTTCTGCGCGTTAATGTAGGTCTCCTGCACTTTGTATGGTCATTCAATAATTATATTTCTGTTATCAAACTCTGTATATAAAGAGAGAGATAGAGAGAGAAGAGTGTGCGCAAGCTAAAATTAAGGGTAGTTTGCTGTAATTATTACGATTCGGTATAATGCACATGCAAAATGCAGATTATAGTAAATCGCAAAAGAGACTGACTGACATAATAATAAGAAATGTATCAAAATAATTTTTCCATAAATTATGCATCTAATTTATCCCAAATTTTGATCTCATACTTTTGAAACCAGACACGCCCACGTAGACATTAATTATTAATATTTCTGCTATTATGATATTAATTTTTCGCTTTTCTGCATTCGGTTGCATCATAATCTTGAAATACACAGCCGTCAATAACGATAGAGACAATATTCCAGAATAATCATCCGAGAATAGATGGTGCAATGCATTCTGTACCGGCCGCGAAGCTTTCAATTATGATCGATCGAACGGCTATCTTCATGAATACTGAAAGCAGCCGTCACAATCCCGGTAAGCCGGGACAGGAAACTCCGAAAATTAACCCGTGTGTGGAACATTGCTTACATTAACCCCGCAAATTGGTCGTGCTGAACGTTTCGCGGATCTAAAGTCAGCGTTTCCGACGCGCATGCATTAGAGAGGAATGATGATAACGACGATCCACCTGATAACGCAGAGCGATGATTCAAAAGTGACGTTTTAATCGCGACTCGTCGTCAAACGAGACATTTAAGCTTTGTTCTCAGAGTTCCTCGACGAGATACGTTCCCGTTGTTATGGAAACGAACGTTGCATAATCTCGGATGTTGCAGCATTATTCTGTCGCCAGAAAAGATGATTATTCGCTTAACGGCAGAATCACAATCGTCCTTGTAGTTCCGATTATCCCATAAGTAAGCTTCAAGAAACTCTATTTCTCGTTGAAATTTGCGTGTAATAAAATAAATAAGCGATAATGCGATGATCTTTAATAAAGTTTCGCTGAATCTTTCGGAGATACATGCTTATACGATTGCCGTATTTTTGCGTTATAAATTTACTTTAAAAAACGAAATAAATGTTTTTCAAAAGACAGATGAAAAATACGGTGTTCGAGTCATAATATCTGTACCTCGCCGATTAAAGATTGGAACATTGCAAGCGCACCGTAAGAAACAAAGAGCGCATTCTGCGAGTTACGTCAAGAAAGTTCGAAGACTCAATTAATCACGTTTTTTTCGTTTTCGGCGTGCTTTATGGCGCGCTTTTTGCGCGGCCACGTCATGTAAATCTCGGAACTCCTGCAAGCAGTAAAACCACCGTCGACGGCTTCGAGTCGCGATGAGAGGCGCATAGCCTTGTCGCAAATCTTAATGATAACGTCGCCGTCTTTTTCTCCCGTTCCCGACTGTCTCTCTGCCGGAGACAAGTCCTTGAAAAAACTCTCGCGCAAAAAACTGCGCGACGACATAATGAAAGACGACATCGTCCTCTCGCCGGTCAGCGCCACAAAATTTGTCATGATCACATTAATCAATTTAATATTCATTTTAATCGTTAATTTTTTCATTGTAGATACGATTAAAATTGTACCTCTTTATTTATTTTAGAATCTTTATTTCTAAATCAAATATATTAATTAACTGATACATACATATACGTTCTAAGTCTGTGTTGAGAATTTTTAAGGTTCACGTATAATTTTGTATACCAATAAATATATATATTTGATAAGTATTTAATGTATTAATTAAAAATTAGAATAAATACGAATAAAAAGAAAGATATAATTAAAGTTAAAATATATAAAAGTTTAAAAAATCAGTAAAATATACCTATGTGTGTATAATTTTAATATCAAAAATTTGAAAATATAATTTAATAAAAAAATTAAATTTTAATATTTTTGTGCGTTGCGATGCTGTATCACTGTTATCACCGAAATCGCTTTCTCGGGAACCGACACCTCAAACTAACACGCCGACGACATCGGCGGCCAACATTGTGGATCGCCGGCCATTACGGTAAAGTCCACCGATAATCTTTTCCGCGGCTCGCTCGAGAGAACGTGTGGATCTTGCTGTCTAGACCGCATCGGTATCCCCTTACCCGGACAGCTCGTCCTTCCTCAACTAGGTAAGAGCTCGCGCGGGGGTATATTCGGTCTGAAAAGCTTGAATCGTTGCAACCGCATTCCACACTGAGGCACCCTTTATGGCACGATATTACTTACAACCCCTTCTACTGTCGTCCCTCGATCCATCCGGCGATCGTTCCGAGGAAGAAAAGCTCCCTATTGTCGTAGATCTCGATGCTTACGATGTAACATCCGCGTGTGAGACGGACCTGATCCCGCAATTGATAACGTATTATGGCGCACGCGAGAGTACCTCTCTGAAAAACTGAACGCGCAAGCTTGCGACTGACACTTGCGAAATGCGAAGTTAACTCGGTGAAAAAAAAGAGAGAGAAAGAGAGTTATTCCATAAATATAATCAAAGTGAGAGTTTGAATGCGCTACGAATAGTCCACTATCATAGCAATTTTTTTCGATTTCGCTCTATCGAGTTCATCCCTCCCTCCAACCCTTAGTTCCTCGTTCGCCTTCGTATCAAATCCGCATCGTTCGAGAAAACAATTGCTATATCGATTGCTCTTTTTACGCGTACGTGTGCGATTACTCGGAGAGAGGAACGTTGCTTTGTTACCGGGTCATATCCGTTTTCTCGCGAGGCGACTGGAATGGATTACCGCAGCGCGCATCTGGGATGAGCTGCAGGTGCAGTAATCCGGTGATAATGGAGTAACGAGATTCGCCCGCACGTACGTTTCCTGCATATTTTAACTTTGCATTTTGCGGCACGATAGCACGTACTGCGCCAGGGTCGTTGTGCCTAATCAACCCTTTGGCCGCCATTCCCTTGGCCCTTCCGCGTACATATAGACGTTTATTTATTTCGCCAATTCCACGTAGACTTGGTATACCGCAGCCATTCTTGCAAAATGGCAATTTTACGCGACTATTGAAACAATGTTTCGAACTTTTGCGGGAAATATTCTTTCGAATCCTTTGAATGTTGTTCAAATTTATACAATAAATAATAATACCAGAAACCCGTAGTACAACCCAAAAAAGAAATGATTTCTTGTAAACTAAACCAAAAATGTAAAATAATTTTTTTTTTGTATGAGGTTTTATTTTTGAAAAAAAGTAATTTGGAAAAGTGGAAAATGATTGATAACGTATTTAAACTTATTAAATTTATCTCGATAGTGGCTATTAAAAGTTTCTATAAAATTCTCTCTGTTCAAAAAAATAAAGTTTTTACATAGATATTTTATCTACATATTTTACATATAGCTTTTTCAGTAATTTAAATCATTTTAACTCGTTTGATTAAAGAGAATGTTATACTTTTATATTCATATATTGCAATAATCGCTATTGGAACAATTTCGATTATATACAATACAAGATCATTAGAGATCATTTAAATTCTAAAAAAGAGTAAATATATTATAAATAGCCTATACTTAAAAATTAATTATTTCTGGACCAAAAGCTTGTTTAAACGAGAAAAAGAATCTTCTATACTTTCGATTTATATTTACACAAGAAATTTCTTCCTTTCGATTATACTATATTTCTCGAAGCATCCTGTACAATATAAGAATGAAGGATCGATAACATGCGGAGACTTAAAATTGCCAAATGACAAAATAATTTCTTAATCACTGTAACACATCAAAAGAGTGTCACTTATCTTATGATGCATACTCACAAACGCGTTCAGTAAATATTAACCAATTTCATGAAATCAAGAGAATATAAGATAATTTTATATAATTCGCAAACTATTTCGTTAATGTAATTGCTGTAATAAAATAATCTCGTTGAATCAACGATATTATCTCGTTAATAACAATTTTATCAATTCAACAATAGCCATATACAATAGGTCATTAAATCGACAAAATGTTTCCTTCGAGTCTGTAATGACACATGTAAAGTTGTTTAGTTCGTTTGACGCCTTTGTATCAGAACGCGATGATAGCTGAGCTCAGAGTGCACTTTGCAGAAAACAGAAAATAAGAGAAAATCTATCGGGCATAAAATAGGCAGCGCCGTCTTGGCACGTTACAGGCTGAGTTTTACATAATGTATCCTCTCGAAGGGATAAAAAAGGTGAGGCAAGAAATATCCGTGGCTCATGAACGTACAGAACGGATTCTAAGTTCCTCGATGGAAATGAGAATGGCAGATTGAACGTCACACGCTTGAAAGGAGTTTAATAGGGCGGGTTAAGTTAGGCGGCTTATTTGATACACCGTCTTTAGATGAGATTGCTTGCCTCGAGAAATCACAAGTGTCATCAATCTTGTCAACATAAATTTTCTTTTAAATATTTCGCTTTTTAACTCCAAAAACATTCGACAGATTCCAATAAAACAATTTTTTTAAATTATTTAAACAATCTAAAATATCCGTTTACATATTTGTAATGTTTCTTCTCGTACTTTTAATAAAGCTGTTATCATTATTATTATAATTAATATAACACTTTTCCTCTTTGAAATAATCGCCGTAGACACCTGTCAGTAACTAACGTTACAACGCGATATAGTTACTGCGCAAGACGAAGGGCTGCATCAGTCAGGATACACGGGTAATTAATTTCGACTCCCATTTTCCGGATTAATGGTTTCGTAATTTGCGCGGACTTATGCAATTTGCGGCTTAGCTGACCGCACATTACGCCTCACGTCATTGTGTTCGAGTACAATGTGCACGGTGAAGATTCGCGGCTCTCGGATGAAATCCGCGGTCATAGATGTCGGCATCATGCACGCGCGATATCCGCGATTGCTAACTAACATTTCAACGCGTCGCTTGTCATCTCGCGATTACTTTCGTTCGCTCTATTATTCGCGGTAATTATATAAAGAGCGTTTACTAAAACCTTGTAAAAAAAAAAAAAAAAACATGTCTGAGAGGTCCTTTTTTCCACATAGTAGACTTCCTGAGTTACTTTTACCACGAAATTGCTTCTGCGATATCGAAGCATCACACTACCATCGACCTCGTCGAGGCTGTGTGTATGTGTGTGTATATATACGAGATGTAACCTTTTTCCGCACGGTTACTCGAGAGTTACGTGCGAGGATCATCGGGCATGAAATGCGGTACGGGAACCGCCGAACAAACGAGTCGACCTCTCTCCGCGAGGGGCTTCTACAACTCCCTCTCCTCGTAAAAGTGTCCTCGGCTAGTGCTTGAGTACATCCTATTTCTCAATGCTAGACGCGCCGGATAGCTACCGCTCGTTCCCGCGGCATGGATTTTCAAAATAGCGGGCGAAAACGTGCCGTCCCTCTGAGAAATATTCCGAGCAAAGCTTTACGTTTCTTCGCACTTTGCGCTGAAATCCTATAAAATATAGTTGCTTCGCGTCGTGATCAACAGTCCGAGATAAGAAAAGCTACGCGTGGGAGAGACGATAAAATTGGTGGATATGGAAAATCTGCGTTACGTGGAAAGACGCCGAGTGATATCGTTAATTGCATCAGAAATACGAAGGAGGCTTATGTCAATGATTCGAATGTGCGTCCGCTCTAATATTATCATAAATAAAATAATAAAAAATTTCTACTCACTTGTTGTAAAGAACAATGTCAGGTAACCATATGTGTTCCGATGGTACGTGAAGGGTGTCGACGCCGCCATAATCGTCCGGATTCCACTTCAGCTTGTAATCGTTCCACTCCTGAAAGCAAAGAGAAGAATCGTAAATGTCTCACCGATTTAACGGAGATGAAAAAGTCTTAATCGATTACCGAGCGTCCGACAAGAGTGAAGAAAAATGCAAGTGTCATCAATCTTGTCAACATAAATTTTCTTTTAAATATTTCGCTTTTTAACTCCAAAAACATTCGACAGATTCCAATAAAACAATTTTTTTAAATTATTTAAACAATCTAAAATATCCGTTTACATATTTGTAATGTTTCTTCTCGTACTTTTAATAAAGCTGTTATCATTATTATTATAATTAATATAACACTTTTCCTCTTTGAAATAATCGCCGTAGACACCTGTCAGTAACTAACGTTACAACGCGATATAGTTACTGCGCAAGACGAAGGGCTGCATCAGTCAGGATACACGGGTAATTAATTTCGACTCCCATTTTCCGGATTAATGGTTTCGTAATTTGCGCGGACTTATGCAATTTGCGGCTTAGCTGACCGCACATTACGCCTCACGTCATTGTGTTCGAGTACAATGTGCACGGTGAAGATTCGCGGCTCTCGGATGAAATCCGCGGTCATAGATGTCGGCATCATGCACGCGCGATATCCGCGATTGCTAACTAACATTTCAAGTCGTCGCTTGTCATCTCGCGATTACTTTCGTTCGCTCTATTATTCGCGGTAATTATATAAAGAGCGTTTACTAAAACCTTGTAAAAAAAAAAAAAAAAAACATGTCTGAGAGGTCCTTTTTTCCACATAGTAGACTTCCTGAGTTACTTTTACCACGAAATTGCTTCTGCGATATCGAAGCATCACACTACCATCGACCTCGTCGAGGCTGTGTGTATGTGTGTGTATATATACGAGATGTAACCTTTTTCCGCACGGTTACTCGAGAGTTACGTGCGAGGATCATCGGGCATGAAATGCGGTACGGGAACCGCCGAACAAACGAGTCGACCTCTCTCCGCGAGGGGCTTCTACAACTCCCTCTCCTCGTAAAAGTGTCCTCGGCTAGTGCTTGAGTACATCCTATTTCTCAATGCTAGACGCGCCGGATAGCTACCGCTCGTTCCCGCGGCATGGATTTTCAAAATAGCGGGCGAAAACGTGCCGTCCCTCTGAGAAATATTCCGAGCGAAGCTTTACGTTTCTTCGCACTTTGCGCTGAAATCCTATAAAATATAGTTGCTTCGCGTCGTGATCAACAGTCCGAGATAAGAAAAGCTACGCGTGGGAGAGACGATAAAATTGGTGGATATGGAAAATCTGCGTTACGTGGAAAGACGCCGAGTGATATCGTTAATTGCATCAGAAATACGAAGGAGGCTTATGTCAATGATTCGAATGTGCGTCCGCTCTAATATTATCATAAATAAAATAATAAAAAATTTCTACTCACTTGTTGTAAAGAACAATGTCAGGTAACCATATGTGTTCCGATGGTACGTGAAGGGTGTCGACGCCGCCATAATCGTCCGGATTCCACTTCAGCTTGTAATCGTTCCACTCCTGAAAGCAAAGAGAAGAATCGTAAATGTCTCACCGATTTAACGGAGATGAAAAAGTCTTAATCGATTACCGAGCGTCCGACAAGAGTGAAGAAAAATGCCACGAAACGAGAACACGAGATTGGTTTTTCTCTATTCATGTACATTCTTCTTTTTTCCCTTCCTTTTTACATAATTCCTTTTATCACTTTTCCATCATATTGAATATTTTGAAGAAAAATACTAAATATAATTTATATGAAATCAAAAAATAAAGATACTAAAAAAAACATTTTTCTAAAGAATTAATTTTTTAATAAAATAATAATATAATTGTTCAAATTAAAATTAATCTATGAGAAAGAAATAGAAAATGTATATTTATTGTATTTATGTAATACTGTATTTTTGATTAAATCTCAGGATTCTCCTGCAGTGTAAAAGAGAGTGGGTAATCGTTCGTAATCGTCCTAACTACTGTCAATATATCCCGGGTCCCTCTGACCACCGTCTTGGCGACCCTCATAATTACCTCGCGGAAGTTTCGCCCATCGTAGCCGATATCCGGACAGGAAGATCCTATTTCCAAGATTCACTTTCCGTAGTAATCGCTTACGCGACCAAACGAGGTAAAACGATTAAGAAAGAGAGAGAGAGAGAGGGAGAAAGTAATTACACGAGATCCGCGGTTTTTGTACCTTTTCCTTCTATCTACTCGTCAGTCTCTCCAAGTTTTTGCTCAAAAAATATAGCGATGTTCGAGTACATTATGAAAACGAAACCATTTCTAGAAAAGTTTCTTTATTACACCTCTCAGCAAAGGATGTATCCCTTTGATATCGGCACGTTTTTTTCTTAACTCGTTAGCGTGTCGAGCAAAAGTGACGGTAACAAGACGATCAAACGAAATATTACGACAAACATCAGAAGGCAGATATCTACACGCGTCGCGTAAGATGCATCGATATTTTCTGCGAGACAGATGCTTGAACTAGTATAGCAAGACATAATTTACGAGACGCGCAGAGTTTTCTTACGTCGGATCGATACTGGAACAACGCCAAACTCCGTTGACATTCAGTCATAGATTAAATCCTAATTCATTTATTGAACGCCGACTGAGTTTATATAAAAAATTGGCGCATCGTTAATAACCTAATAATAATATTCAAATAGTTTAAAGTATACGAAATTTCTGATTCCTAATAATTAATATTCGAATGGTTGCCATTCGAAAATATTGTAAAAATTATTGGAACATTTTTAAGTATCGGAATTACTCGGATTAATTCAAGGACTAGATTATGGCATCATTATTTAAATGTAAGATATTGGAAATTCGGAATCGTTTCTACGTCGAATAACCAGAATAACAAATTATTGTGTAACAATACTCTTTCTCTCTCTCTCTCCATTTATCTTTTTCTCCATTTCTCTCTTCCTCCGTCTTTTCCTCTCAGAGAGAGAGAGAGAGAGAGAGAGAGAAAATAAAAAATAAAATCAATCTTCATTTTTTAATTTCTCTTTTAAAATAGAATGTAAAGCAATGGTTACATAAAAGCAAAAAACAGTTATATTACTTTTCAAATTGCGCATAATAATTTTATACGTTAGACTCTTACGTTAATTTATTTGTTAGCGGAATTTTTATTTTCGCTATTAAATGCTCGTGGAGATATGTAGAGATTTCATCAGTTTAAAAGATGAAAAAACAGACTTTATGAAATAGAATATAAGCGATTTTGTTGTGGCAAAAATATAAACGTTTTTTATAAAGAATTTCGTTTCTATATAAAAACGACTAGCTATAAATTTTAAAAACTCTCTCATTGCATGCGTAATAACATATATAGCGCTGTTAAATTGTTTTTGCCTGCTTCAAATTGCATAATCTGTTAACGAAAAAAATTGCAGAAATTGTTTTGATTTTAGAACAAATATGTATATGTATAATGTATATATAAATATATACATTATAAATATATACATTATTATACATATTTGTTCTAAAATCAAAACAATTTCTGCAATATTTATTTATTCGCAATTTGCGTTTGCATTCTAAAAACAAATAACGTTATATAGATATAGATAATTCTTTTTTGTTTCCAATAACAATGCATTTAGAACGATTTCCAATTGAATTATTTTGCGTTAATTTGGAAATTGGATTATTGCCAACTGTGCAAATCGAGCTTGATAATATTCAAACTTACATTTCTACATCGAAAATTAGCAGTTAAATTACACGTGCAACGGAGACATCTTGATTTCATCATCTTATACGCAGAATTATATCACGCAGCAACGCGCGACAGAAAACAGCCGCTGCAGGTGCATCCACGATGTATATTCGCGCTCACGAAGCGTCGAGTTTCATTGCTCCTATAGGCATTAATTATTCCGCTCGCAATTAGCCGAGTTTGGTATGTACCTGGCATCGCCGCGGAGCGTATCTAAAATTTCGCACACGATCCAACAGACTCGTATCGAGATCAATTATTTTGGCGCGCAGTGAGAGCGGGACCGGTTAAAAGATTTTAATTTGTAGTATAAGAATTTGTAGTTCAAGAAATCTTTTCATAAATATAAAAAGGATTTTATATATTATATCGTTTAAGTAAAAATATATGATTTTTGCATATAAAATAAAGCTAGACAATAGCATTAGACGTTTCTCAGAATGCACCATCTGGAAAATCATTGACATGAGAAAGCTGCGTGTAATGTGAACAGATGCACGCAATTATAGCATACACTTTAGTAATTTCTCTGCGTTGCCGCCTTCGACCCCGGAAACCCGTGGCATTCGTGATGATAAACCGTCACACATTTACCACGGAAAATTATCTTCACGCTAAAACGATTATACGGCGGCTCAGATGATCTCGACATTAATTTAGTACGCAGCGCGAAAATAGGACCAGGAACGCTCTTGAGATAACTTCGTCGAGTGTATGAGACATGAATGTTCGGTGAATTCGATAAAACAGGAAAAATTGATCGAAAAACTTAACATTAAATCCTATCAGATAGCAAATTCTTTCACAAAAATTCTATGATTTGTTAAGATCAAAGTTAAAATAAAGTAAATAATTTCGTTAATTAATCCAATGCTATCACACAAGTATCTAATTGTGAACCATAAATCATTTGATCTAAGCAGCTGTGCTATTTCAGTAATTCTTCTGCCAAATTATTTTATAAAAAATTTCTCTTTTCATTATTTCAATTTGTACATTAAAAATAAACGCGTGTTCAGATGCTTTTAACCCCCTATATTATTAAGTATTACAATATTATTAAATAATGTATTGAAAAAGTAAATAATATTTCTCTTTCTGTCTTGTGACAATTTATTTCAAAAATCGTATGCGGCCGCGTGTATGCGGCACAAACATAAAAATTAGTTTTATTTAATTCTTCAACACAAGATCGTAAATTACGCTACATGTAATTTGCATTCGATTTTTTTTTACCAATGCTCCGCAAGATGCGATTTATCGGGGACGAAAATCGATTGCACGACGTCCGTAGTAAAATCGCATAGCGAGCGTCTACGTACTGAATTTCCGAACGTGATTACAGTCTAGTGAGAGAAAAAACGTTGGTAATTTAGAAGCAATATTTTCTTTCTTACGCGCGAAAAAAGTACTTTCGTCGCTTGAAAAGAATGTGCTACAGAAAACTTCAATCTTCTTTCTCGTATCGAATATTCTCAAACAATTTCTTTGCTCCTTTCCTCTAATCGCATATGCATATAAGTTATTATTTAATATTGTAATTAATTATACGCATAAAAAAGATAAGATAGTGATAAGATAGAATTGAATTTAAAGTTTCTCGAAATTGCTCTGAAAACAGCTTCATTGAAGTTACTACATAATATATATCTTAAGAAATGGCTGGATAAAAATCAAACTTTTTTATTTATGGTAGAGATATTTCTGTATATTGTAAGATTCAAGGACATATATTCATTTAGCCTTTCCGTTTCGGCCAAACTAAATTCTCCAAGTTACAATTCTCTTCCTTAAATACATCTCTTTGTTAAAGGAGTTACATTCGATGTCGAAGAAGCAAGACCGAGGTGGTGAATCGTAAATCGGTTTGCGCCGCGTCGAGAAACGTATTGTCGCGGAAAGGAGGCGTAAAGAGAGGGAAAGCGAAATCGACGATTATCTAGAGCGTAACCTTTTAAACTCGAGAATAGCGGAGAAGAATCTCCGTATTTTCTCGACACCTCCTGTCGCGCGCGGCGCCCAAAGGATTTGTCGATGTATCCTGCGCGAAGGGAGCTAAAGGGAGAGACAGGATTTCAAAGAATAGGGCGAGAATTTAAACGCACACAGTCACAAAAGGCGGAGGAGATATTGGCGCCCGTGGTTTATTCGACTGCCGAAGAGTCACGCGTGCGTATCACGCGATTGACAATCGGCAAGCTTTTCAATTCGTGAAGAGACTCATTCTCTTCCGTTACAATGCAACGCTCGAAATAAAGCGAGTATAGCGCAACGGTGGAATTCACTGTCGTTTATCGCGTACAGCAACGTTTGCGGCACAGTTGTGTTCTGTCGAGGCTTCCAGATTTATCCAGCCAAATGTAACACAACGTCGCGTTAACTTTTACGGAAAAAATCTCGCGGCGAAAAACACGGAACAAATAGGCGCGCGTGCGCGAAAATTTTACCTTGTAGTTTTATCAACAATATTTTTCAAGGCACCAGCAGAATATTACGATTGATAATAGAATTGCAGAGCCAGCAGCTTTGAAATACAAGTATTGCTTGTTTTCGTTACGAAAATAACATGTATCTTTATTTCTATATTAAAAAAAAAAACCCACTATCTGATTTTGTCATAAATATTTTTTTTTTATAAGAAATGATATAATAAAGAGAGGGAAAGCGAAATCGACGATTATCTAGAGCGTAACCTTTTAAACTCGAGAATAGCGGAGAAGAATCTCCGTATTTTCTCGACACCTCCTGTCGCGCGCGGCGCCCAAAGGATTTGTCGATG